CCATACTCACAACCTGCAAAATGTTCAATTCCACTGTTAACAGTCACTATGTCAATCCACCTTGTTGAGGGTCTTCTTCTCTCTAATCTTCCACCTTTCCCAGCATGATGTCTTTTTCCAAGGTCAGTCTCTCCTGACAACATGCCCAAAGTATGGGAGATGCACCCTAGTTACTCTTCCTCAGAGACAGACTTGTTTGCTCTTTTGGTGATTTATGGAATAGTCATTATTCTTCTTCAGCACCACAATTCAAAGACGCAGTGAAGTAATCTATTACTTGCTAAAAAAATGCCTGTACCTGCGAGTGTGGTGTGTGAGTTCTGTGTGGCCATTGCAAGAACTAGTGTAGTAGTGAGAGCTGTGGGAGAGATAACTGGTATTAGAATTTCAGAAAGAATGTTTTCAAATTTGTACTTTAATTTTGTAAATAAACTAGTAGAAAAATTTAAAAAACTAAAAAAAAAAAAGAATTACAGAAAAGTGTAGCATGTGAAGGCATATTCCTCACTAGAATTGTCCTTGATTTGTGGTTGACTGGAATTCTTCTGTTTTACGAAGGCAGTAAAATTCATCCCTGCCATCCTCCACCAGCCACACTGTATGTATGGTCTGAAAATCTTGCTGACACATTTCAGCATCACAGCAACATATAAGCCCCCAATTAAGAGATAGGTGATAAATTCACAAGAAACACACTTCCAGGGAATCAGATTTAGGTTTCCTGAATTGAAAATGAAAATTCTACCACCAAGCTATCAGTGAGTCACTATCACCTATATAAAATTGCTAAACATATAAATCATATGTGATATTGCCAGTGTATCAGGCCCCATACCTCACAGGCAAATCTCTAATGCAGCATCAAATTGTGCAGAGGTCCCTAGCCTCTGACATCAGAACTACACACAGTAAAACCTCAGTGATGTGTGTGGAAAGTTGAAGTTTTCAAGAATATAGGCCAGACTTCAATAGGAATTAGTGTGAGAAATAAAATTCTACAGTAGATTTACATTAAATACCAGCTATCAGAGGGGGCAAAAAACCCCAAACCCTTAGATCATTAGGTATAACCATCCAACAATAATAAGTCAGACAAATATTATTTTTACATGTTGTACATTTAAGACCTCTTCCCAGCAGCCGACTCATATTTTTGGAGGGCTCCTGGCTGCACTGAAACTCAAAACCTATCTTTACGTCTCAGCAGATACATCCTAAAGGAAAAGCAACAGATGCCTGGGTCTTAAAAGAGCTGACGGAGGGCTGCACACAAAAATAAAGACAAATCCATACCACTCCAGCAACACAAGCAGAAACGTACTGTATTTTCCAAATGTTCTTGTTTTCTTTTAAGTTGAACGCGTACAAGACTGCACACACCTGAGGAAACTTTACAATACACAACTTCTTCAGAGCACTCAGTACACCTCATGGGGGACAAAGACAACTAAGACATTTGCCACTTGGTGGCAAATGTTGAGTGGCTGCTGTCTGTAACCTGAAAAAACACTGATGTACAAAGCTCTTCAGTCACACAGGGGAACATAACCTGTAAAAAAGATGGTCTTTTTGTATGAAAATACAGAAGTCACACACAGGAAACGTGCCATCTCCATTTAAGAGGTTTTAAATGCACATCTCTACTCCCCAGACATCTGCTTAGACAGAATGTGCTGGCGTCTGCGCAGAGCACATGGATTCCCAGGAGTCTCTAGAGATGCGTGGATGTGGGGCGGGAATGTGAAAGCATCTCCATTCCACAGAAAAGAGGGCATCCTGCATAATCCCGGCAGGAGTGAGGGCTTGCTCATTTACAAGACAGGACATGGCGAGCTTTCTAGCCTTCAATACACGACCAACATTTGAAAAGCAAAGCATGAAGGCAAGTCCATGGCGAAGGCAGTGGAAACATGGGGCCTCCCTACATTTTGAGAAGAGCCCTGACCCAAACTCACTGCCTTTCAGTCAAATGTAAGTCACAACGACCTCAGAGGACAGCAGGGAACTGTCTCAGGGTTTTCAAGTCTGCACATCTTCACAGAAGACAACTGCCACATCTTTTTCCTTTGGAATGACTCGTGGGTGTAGGCAACTGACTTTCTGGTTAGCATCTGAATGCTTAACAGCTGTGCCACGAGGGATCCTTGAGTGTTTTCTTCATGGACAGAGAAGCAACAAGTGGTTGAAAGGACTCACCCCTGAGCCTGGCTGGGCTTAAGCACTCGGTAATTGCTTCTGGCATCTTTCAGATGCAAATGAAAACACTGAATTAATAGGCCACTGTGAATGTCACAAAAAGCATTCATTCAAAAACAGTATATAAGGCCTAGCTGAGATATGCTACACCAGCACACTCTTTCATGGGCAGGGAGAGCTGCCCACACAATGCACCATCTGGGAATTTGTGCAGCCACTGCGCTCAGTCGGCCTCTGTATGGTAATTCAAGGAGACCTGGTGGTACAATAGGTTAACTGTGGGGCTGCTAACCCAAAAGCTGATAGATCAAATCCATCAGCTGCTTCACAGGAGAAAGATGTGGCAGCCTGCCCGTGTACAGATTCACAAGGTTGGAGACCTTATGGCGTAGGAATGTCCTATATAGGGTTGACATCACTTATTTGTTCCCATCCCAAAGAAGGGTGACCCAACAGAGTGTGGAAACTACAGAACCCAACAGAGTGTGGAAACTACAGAATAATATCATTGATTTCACATGCAAGCAAGATTCTACTGAAGATCATCCAAAAATGACTGGAACAGCACATCAACAGAGAACTGCCAGAAGTCCAGGCTGGGTTTAGAAGAGGTCGTGACACTAGGGATATTGTAGCTAATGTTAGATGGATCTTGACCAAAAGCAGGGAATACCAGAGGTGTGTCTATCTGTGTTTCACTGATTATGCAAAGGCATTTGACTGTGTGGATCATAACAAACTGTGGCTCACTCTGAGAATAGGAATCCCAGAACACTTGATCGGTCTAATACGAAACGTATACTTGGGCCAAGAGGCAGTTGTCAGAACAGAGCAAGAAAATACTGCATGGTTCAAAATTGGGAAGGGCGTACGCCAGGGATGTGTCCTGTCTCCATACCTTTTCAACCTGTACGCAGAACAGATTATCCAGGAGGCTGGGCTCTATGAGGAGATATGTGGGATCAGGATTGGTGGAAGATCTATCAACAATCTGCGTTATGCAGATGACACAACTCTGCTTGCTGAAACTGAGGAGGACCTGAAGCACTTGTTGCAGAGGGTTAAGGAGTGCAGCCTTCAATATGGATTGAGGCTCAATGTCAAGAAGACAAATATTTTCACCACTGGACCAATTGGCAGCATCAGGATGGATGGTGAAGAGATTGAGATAGTTCACAGCTTTAGTTTGCTTGGCTCCACAGTCAACACTCTAGGCACCAATAGCCAGGAAATTAAAAGATGTATTGCCATGGGAAAGTCTACTGTTAGGGACTTTTCCAGAGTTCTGAAAAGCAATGGTGTCTCTCTGGAGACTAATGTGCGTCTGATACAGGCCATAGTCTTTGCAATCATTTGTTATACATCAGAGAATTGGATAATGACTAGGGAGGATAGAAGGAGAATTGATGCCTTTGAGCTGTGGTGCTGGAGAAGAATATTGAGGGTGCCATGGACTGCTAGGAAAACAAACAGATTCATCCTGAAGAGGGTTAAACCAGGCAGCTCCTTGGAGGCAAGGATTCTGAGGATCCATCTAACATACTTTGGACACGTTGTAAGGAGGGGCCGGTCCTTGGAGAGGGACATCATGCTTGGGAGGGTGGAGAGACAGCGCAGGAGGGGAAGGCCCTCTATGAGGTGGATTGATTCAGTGACTGGGGTAATCGGGATGGGTGTATCGGAGACAGTGCAATTGGCACAAGACAGAGCAGAGTTGTTGTACATAGAGTCGCTATGAGTTGCAAGCAACTCGATGGTACATAACAACAACATAGGGTTGACACAAGTTAGAATCAGCTCCACAGCAGGGAGTAGGTACAGGATTTTCCTGAGCACCAGGCAACGTCAATGGTGAGCACTCACTATTTAAAAAAAAAATGTGCACTCTGACATGAATGAAAAATTGAATTAAAAAATTAAAAATGTTAATTAAAACTAAAAAAATTTAATTAAAAATTTAATGACTTTTAAAAAATTGAATTAAATTTTTCTTTCTCTTAAGAAATTACCTAGTCTCTCTGGTTTTGTGGGAGCTCTAGTGGACAAATGTAAGAAGCTGTGCTGCAAACCCAAAGGCATGCAGTTCGAATCTACCAGCTGCTCCATGGGAGAAGGATGAGCAATCTCCTCCATGTGATCGACTACCCTTGAAAAGTCACTGGAGGGTCAGTGTGAGTCAGTTCCAACTCAACAGAACACATCAACAATGACAACTGTGGTTCTGAGAGGTTTTACCGCTGACCTTCAGAGGCAAAGGTGATCTGGTACTGGAATTCTCGCCTTCCAGGGAGGAGACTCATGCTCATTCCAGCCAGTGCTCCTCACAGGCAGTCACCACCCACATGTGAGGGAAGCTGAAGTGTTGCTATGATGCTCAACAGTTTTCAGTGGCACTTAGAGTACAACTTAAGGGACCACAATGTTCTGGTTAAGGGACCACAATGATCTGATCCAGAACTGATCGTGACGATGGCTCAAGAATGGACAGCGTTTCACTCCATTGTGTGCAAGGTCACCATAAGTCAGACTAAACAAGAGCAGTTAGCAAAAAATAGCTTTAAAATGCAATCCTTACCCAGAGTCCCTTAGTGCGTCCCTACTTCACCAGTTAAGAAAGACGCTAAAGAACTGAGCCAGTAGTCTTAATTTTCTTTATAACCCACAAGAGATCCCAAGTGACAGGAAAATGAGCCAATGACAAAAATGTAATGGACAGATCTTTGGTCACTTGACCATCTTGCTCCTGAATCTGAACAGGACCCTCCAGGGGCTGGTGAGGGCATGCCTACCCAGTCATGACTTACCCCTCAAGATGTAGTTCTGATAGTTCTGATCGGCCTCTGCTCCCACTTTAATCAAACACGTCAGACCTTCAGCCACTACGAACTCATGCACCAGATCCTTGTCATCCTGCCAAGAAAGAAAGGGGGTGAAAATGCTTCAAAGTCTGTCCCTCGCCTTCCAGGCTATATATGTACAACCTTTGAAGTAAAAATTATAACCCAAGGATTGTTCAGCTGCATTCAATGGGGCATCCTAACTGTTGCCAGAAAAATATTACAGCTAATCTTCACATTGTTGTTCACCAAAGACCAAATACTGGCCACTGAGCAATCAAAGAAACACAAGGTAAATGAATCCCTTGAGGTCAAGAATATCAAGGTGTTTTGTTTCTCTTTCTGTCGAAGTTGCCAGGTTCCACATAACCTCTCCCAGGCCTCTGAATCTTTCTGGTTTTTAACTGTAGGAAATATATTCTTCCAAAATTGTTGTCATCAAGTGTCATTGAGTCGGAGCCTAATCATAGCTGACCCTCAGCAGGTTTTTAGAGGCTGTAAATAACACAGGAGGAGGATTTACAGCCATTTATGTGTTCTATCAGAGGTCTTTAAGGGCGCACTAGTGGCATGATCTGCAGCGCGTCACACTGCTAACCCAAAGGATTCTCTGGTGGTTTGAAGCCACAAGAGGCTTCGCAGGGAAAGACGGGCAGTCACCTCCCCAGTAGGATTTAGAGCCTAAGAAACCGGATGGCGTGTCGCTATGGGAGGGAGCCACCTTCACAGCAGTTGCATCTGAGTTCGGTTTTGACCAGATATCCTTAATGACTCTAGTCAACAAATGTGCTCAGCTGCTAACCACACAGCCAAAGGTTCAAGCCCATCCAGAGGCATATCAGAAGAAAGGTCTGGTGATTGCCAGACAAATTATCTGCTGAAAGTTCAAAGCAGCACAGATACCCACAGGACCCTACAAGTTGTAATGGACTTAATGGCAACTAGACTGGACCTTGGTTATAAGGATTGTACAAATGTCTTGAGCTCATCAGTGGTATCTCCAGCATCCTTGGGGAGGTGCTTTCAGAATAAGTGAAGAGGCAGAACCCAGGCAACCAATCCCATGATTCCTCAGTGACAGAGGCAAATTACCAAACAATCAAAGTAAACACAGGCTATTCATGTGCGGAATGTGAATTTGGAAAGAGGGAGGCATTGGTTCTGTAGGGCAGTGCTGTGGGGTTGGGAGAGAAACAGTTGTCAGCCAAATCAAGAAGCAGAATCTTGAATGTGGTGAAACAATGTGAGGTTATTCACTTCAGATTAGTAAGTAAACCGGTGCTTAGCTTGTTCATTGGGTAACCAAAAGAGCTGCTTCTTGCGGGTGGTAGATTTGATCACAGAAGTCTGGGCAGGGGAGGCATCAAATCCCGAGGTCCTCAAAGTGAGGGCTCCAGATGAGCATCACAGGAAACTGTGAGAAAGGCAGAATAGCCAGCCTGACTCCAAACTTCCTAAATGGGCAGCAACAGAGCAGGTCCAGGAAGGCCTAGATCTGCATCCGACAGGCAGGCTGGCCAGGTGATGAAACACGCTGGCGGCTCTCACCCTGCCTGGATCACATTACAACCCCCTGGAGAGCTTTTAAAACAAATATGAATCCTTGAAAACACAATGCGCATGAAGGGATAGGTTAAGAACAGTGTACATGAATGATAAACATAGTGTACAAGAAATTTGCATGAAAATCAATACAAAACTTGCTGTTGTTGTTGATTGCTGTCAAGTAGAGCAGGACTCATAGCCACCCTATGGACAAAAGGCCTGAAGCCTTTCTGTAACTAACATCACTTCTCCAAGTTCTTAGAGTTTCCAGAGGCAAGCGGTTTAGGAAGTGGATGCCACTCCTGCTTCCAAACCTGTTTTAAACTGTCTTAAACTGGGAGCTCCACCAAACACTGTCCACCAAGGGCAACCATTATGACATCTGACACCCCAATGGCACAGGGTTCAGCATCATGACCAGATTATAAAATTTAAAAAAAAAAAATCAGCAGCAAAGACCTGCCAGACTGATTTAATCACAAAGCCACAGGTTTTACAACTAAAATCCACAGGTAATTCCAAAGAACATCCAATTTGAAAATCACTAATCTAATTTTTTTTAATTACTTACTATGCTGGAGAAGAGTGTTGAATATACCATGGACTGCTAGGAGAACAAACAGATTTGTCCTGGAGAGGGTGAAGCCAGAGTGTTCCCTGGAGTCAAGGATTCTGAAGCTTCGTCTGACATATTTTGGGCATGTTGCAAGGAGGGACTGGTCCTTGGAGAGGGACATCATGTTTGGCAGAGTGGAGGGGCAGCAAAGGAGAGGAAGACCTTCGGTGAGATGGATCGATTCTGTGACTGGACCGGTGGGAATAAGTGCGTTTGAGATGGCTAGGTTGGCACAGGATAGAACAGCATTTAGAGCTCTTGTACATAGGGTCACTATGAGTCATAAGCAACTTGATGGCACATAACAACAACAACAACAACTTGCAATGAATAAGGATCATAGAAGAATCAATCAATGCCTTTTGAGTTATGGGTGGGAGAAAAGTGCTAAATATTCCCTGGGCTTCCAAAAGGACAGACAGGTCTTGGAAATGGTGCACTGGAGGCAAGGATAATAAAACTTTCTCTCACATTCCTCGGGAACACTGTTGGCAGCATAACTTCCTACCTACCGGGCCAGGGCTCCCAGGATAGGACAGGGTTCAGATCTGTTGTTCATAGGTTGCCATGCGTCACAATCAACTCAACAGCACTTAATAACAACAGCAATCTAATTCTGCCTTCTCTTTACAGATAAAGGTACTAAGACTCAAGAACGGTCAAGATCATGAACTACTGTCACACAGTCGCCATGCCCTGTGACCCCAAACTTAATAATTTTTCTGTAGTATTAAGTTCTATGAAGCTCTATCAACAGGGATTTTTTTTTCACCACCAGTTTCAGGTAATTTCTAAAGCTGAACAGTTGTCTCAAATGCATCCAGAATGCACCCCTTGTCTCAAATGCATCCAGAATAAGAGTGGAACATTCAACTTAAATTGTAATAACAAAGTAAAAAAAATGTAAAAACCTCAAAGATGTAAATAAGCAGAAAGCTTAATAGAATAATGAAAGGTTATTACAGGCGTAGTCAGCAACCAGGGTGTATCTCCAAAAAAAGGAAAACGAAACACTTTAGACAAATTGGCATCATTCTCCTGTCCCTCTATGAAATCAGCCCTTTATTTTGATTTTATGGCATTTTCCAATTATATGGATGGGGGACTTGAGCTAAATGTGGGCAGGCAGGCCCAGGCTCCCTTTGAACCCAGAAAGGGCTGTTAATGTGGTGAGAGGGCACGTGGGGGAGGGGGTAATGAAAGACAGCTGTGTTAGCTCAGACATTTAAGATAATCATGGCCTTGGAAGAAAGAGAAAATGGGACAATATCAGGACTCTTTGGAAAATTACTTTACACTCCTATGTAACAAGGAAATAAAAGAAATAATTCTCTCTCCATCCATATCCCTTTCCACCAGCACATGTGAAAAGTGAACATTTAGATGAGCTCATGTCTAGTCTGAAACTTTTTCCAAGCATGTAACAAATGTTTATTACTTTAACTAAAACTAGATTCACACATGACTTCATGGTGAAAGAGTGAGAAGGGGCTCTCAAGAAACCACTCAGGCTAATCACTAATATTAATATAGCAGAGAATTTACTGTCTGGCATTTGGCAAAGGCCCTGGGTAGGCAAGACAGTGTTTATAGAAAGAATCTGGGGCCTTAACTAAAGACTATGGACTTATGTAGATAAGCTGCTTAGAGAATACAAATTTATGAAATACATTGGGAATGTTTGCCAAATGGGTGATGTACTAGATTTTTAAAAATACATCTCCTAAAGCTACTGAATTAAGGAGTAATTTCTATAACAGACATATGATCACTTTTTTTAGTGGTTCTTATTAGCCCAGGAATAGTCAACTCAAGCCAGATGGCCAATGTCTCTGTTTTATTGGCCCTTAAAGTCTCCTTTCAAAGAGAGCCTTCTCAGATAGAGAACACAGAAGAGATGGTGGAGGTGTGGAAAGGAAGGCAGTCACAGCAACCAGACAGCTTGCTGCCTGGGGAAGTCACTCAGTGTCTTAGGCATTGCTCTCACTAGTACAGTGCTGTTTTGTGAATATGTATATGGATTTCGAAACAGATGGTAAACAAGTATCCTTGTAAATTTCCTTTAAGACGTTCTCCTTGCTTACATGGATCTGGCAAAGTCTCCCCAAAAATATTCATTTGCTGAAGAAAGATAGAAATAACTGCCCCGAGAATTCAGAGAATTATACCAGTGAGTACAGTAAAGGGATGTGTAAAAGCAAAAAAGTCTAAATTTGTTCTACATTTGAGTTCTTCATCAAGTAGCACAGGTACCATACAAGTCAATCCAGTCTTGTTCCAGTTGTAATCTCATCCTTCCCACCCCCCGTATTATTTTGAAGCAAATCTAAAAATGGCATCATTTGACTCATGATATTCCAATATGTATCCCCAAAATAAATTCTTTTTAAGATTATGTATCTCAGTCACAAAAAGACAAATACTGCATAGTGCCACTGTTGTAGAACGAGACTGACATCAGGGCTGCAGTGAGACTCTGGAAAAATTGGATAAATTATGTATACTGCATTGAAACAGATGAGGGAGAGAACAGTTTAAAAGCGATAAATGATTGGGTATTATGCTTATGACAAGAGTCCAGAATGAAGGTTGCATAGTGGAGTGTCCTGGGGGAGGGGAGGATTGTATAACAATGAAAGAATTTTTCTTTTACTTTTCAAAGAAAAGAGCAAACTGGGGAGGGGCGGAGGGAAGGGAGAAAAATGAAACAATGAATGAATGGAAATCCAAAATCTCTGTAAACGTTCATTAAGATTAATAAAATTTTAAAAAGTATAAAAAATAATAAATTTTATCAATATAAAAATTATATATCAATAATATCTAAATATGAAATGAATACTTTAGTATCTCTGTGTGTCTCTCTTTCCCTCCCTTCCTCTCTCCCTCCTTCCCATCAACTTAAAACAGAT